CCCCGGCATCCCGGCTATCTACTGCAGCAGGCACCGGTGGCCGCTGTACCGCGTTTCCCGCAAGCCGCGGTGGGATCACCGTCACCGACGTAACGGTAGGAACCGGAGCCGTTTGGACAGCGCTCTTCTTCGTCCTTATGCGCTGTGGAAGGGGAGGGGGAGAGCCGATGGCGCGATGAGCGTCCTTAGCACGTCGCAGCTCCCCCTCCAACGCAATCTTCTCCCTCATAAGAGTGAGGTTGTCGTTCGTCACTTCCAGGACGCGCGCTTGCAGCCCCTCAGGGTCTCCCACCTCATCTGCGCGGCCGCAGTAGGCTTCGATCGCCATCGTAACGGAGGCAGCTATATTTTTAAACAGCTTAATATAGCTGCCCTTTAGATTCCCGCATCTTAATGTGTGGACCTTCAGGGAGTCCATCGCCGTCCTGATATAGGCCGTAATTTGCGGCCCGGTGTACTCCGTGAAGTCCCGCACATCATCGAATTCGGAGTCCTCCATTCCGGCGGACGTGACAATGCCCAGCCTCTTAGCAGCGTCCGCTCGTGCCTCCTTTGTTTTTGGTCGGGGCTTCTTCGTCTGGGCCTTAGTGCCCTCCGTCGAAGTGGAGGAGCCCCGATCGATACACTCCCGCGGCCGTTTAAAGGCCGTCGTGCCCGTAGCTGCACAGGCCGGACTACCTACATCGCCCTCATAACTCAGGGGCATGTAGTAGTCGTTGTCGTCATCGAGTCCGATGGGCAGACCATCAGCGCCCAGCGTGTCATCACCGCCATCATCCGACGACAGGGAAATCGCGGTCATCGTCTCCTCCGACAACGGAGGAATCAACGTTGTTGCCGCCGACGCCACCGGTGAATCAGCAGGCGTTGCCACCGACGTCACAGGTGAGTCAGCAGACGTTTCCGCCTGCTGGTTACCGCCTTCCTCTGCAGTAGCATAGGTAACCGTGTCGCCTGCATCGCACGACACGGCCAACCCCTCGTTTGATGACGACGGTACGGGGGCAGGGTCGGAACCCCCGAGCCGCCGGGACCTGGACGTCCGATCGCCCTGGTCCGGTAGTGGTACATCCTTTACTTTTTGTGCTTNCATGTTGTACCAATTTGGGAGGTTTGATTTCGGAGTTTTCCTTCTCCTAGGACGGTCCCCGTCCAAAGGTCACGAGCCCGTCCTACCCGGGTTTGAAATCAGGGTTTTCCTTCCCCTAGTCCAGTGGCCGACCCGAAAGCGCCTCTTGGAGCTGGACACCCCGGATTTGTAGTCAGGGTTTACTCCCCTAGTCCGATTGCGCCGTGGCTGACGGAGTCGGACGCCCCGGATTTGCAGTCAGGGTTTACTCCCCTATCCCAGTTGCACCGGCAAAAAGTGCTAAGCGAGGCTGGAATCCCCCGGTTTTTGTTCGAGATTTTCCTTCCTCTATTTCCTCTCTTAGTACAGGAGCTCCGCGAAGGGCCTTCCTGGCATGGGTGACCCTGCCAGGGAATCAAAGGATTCCCCGCCAGTATAGCCCCCTCGCTTCACCGCTCCTAAGCCCGGGCACCACGACAAGGTGGAGGAAAATCGCCCGGGTTTGCACTGGCTGCTACTTTACAGGTTATTTCAGAAAATAAAACAAATCTCGTATATCACGTGGCACTTGCGCAAGCACATGAAAGAAAGAAAAAAAACAGTACATGAGCAGGACAGAAGTATATTTTTTCTGTCTCTCAGATCTTGCTCACACTTCCCACTCATTGCTTGAATAGGCTACATCCACTCCATATCTAAGCTTTATGGATAACAGAATGAACATATACTAGTAGCATCACTGCGTAGTACATATATTGATAATCAAACTTTATTTTTGTTAAGGTTTGAGACCGTAGGCAATCAAATTGTTTCTAAAAAATGCAAATATGAAGTGTCCTCTCCATTCTTAATAATTTTATTTCTCCACCAATCACGTTGTATTATCACTGTAAACACTGATACATAATCTAGCGGAACTTTAGCAACTCTTGAGTTTGTTTTGTTATAGATAAAAAGAGCAGTAGAAGAAGTATTTATGTATATTAGTTTGATTGCGTTTCGATATTTACTGCCAATATTGCAAATCTATAGTACATATAAAGTATGGATTTAGTACCGGCAGTGAATATCGAAACGCAGCCTTTGTATATGTATATGAAAAGGAAACGAACAAATACGTAGAAAACAAAAATAGAAGTTAGACTGTATCTCAAGTAATTTTTTACGAGAAAATTGTATTTGAAATAGGAAATGGATAATTAAAGCCATTTAAATGGAAATGTAAAATAGGTTTTGAACAAATATATTTTAAATATAAAATACAAAATANGCATTTTACATTTTGCATTTCTATTTTAAATGCATCCATTTCAAATAATGCACATCTCTGTGTATAGGTATGCGTATTTCATTACTGTGTTCAAATGTCGTGTTCACATACAGATTGTACGTGTGAGTTTCAATCTTGACGATGTGATCGTCAAAGATCGGCTCGCCCCCAACATTTAAAATGTCGCACATATTTTCAAACTTCTCGTACAATAAATCCCAACGATTGCAAAAATGTAACGTTTATCGAACTTAGCTTCTTCCAATTACTGTACGTCGTAGCAAGTGTTTGTAATGGAAACCTTGTATCTTGCGTCACTTGATCCGCCTCGTTCAGCACGAGCATGCCGCGTATCGCAGTCGTCGGCGTCGCATGTGTAACCTGACGGTTATTTCCTTTTCTCAAAAATCAAGCAATTGTCCGTACTGATCCACAATACGTATCGTGAGATCCGTAATGCTCTGCACAATGATCGGAAGGTAAATAATCTTTACCGGTGTTTCCAAGATCTTATATCCTGGCGGCACGTTCGGTGAAAATTCATGTATCGTATGCACGCACCGGTTGTTGCTGTATGCATCAGCGGTCACGTTGCACTCTATGCGAATAATGTTAACGTTGATAATATTAATCGGCACGTCTGATACATACCACTGTCGTGGATCTAAAATACGGGTTGATGAAAATCCCAACAGCGAGCCAATGGTGTCAGGTTTAGTAAAATTTATTTGATAGGCGCAGTTTATTTTGCTTTTCATTGTGTTAGTGTTTGCACGTAATATTAGTGGTGAGATTTCCTCATCCTTATCTTCGCTTCTCGCATTACGTTGCATCATTGCATGTTGCAGATAATTGTTAATATCCCGCAATTCGTACGATCCTTCAGGAATTATAATCTGCTTGTCATCCGTATTGTAATAAAATTTGTTGTTCGACGAATTTACGTTCGGTATTGTATAATATGTTTCAAAATCTATTACTCCAAGCTCGTAATCACCGTCACTTAAATCAATGGCGAGAAAGTAGCTGACCGCAAATATACTACTTTTACCGGTAAGTGTGAACGTCAGTGACATGTTGTCGAATGCGTATTAAAGTTTGATAGCACACTATTTAAAGAAATACGGCTTATCAACCGTTTGAAAAAACCATAAACAAAATTGGCCACAATTGCTTTGAATGTAACATTGATAAGATGTACGATTATATTTTATTTTGTCCACGGCATGTTTTAGATAACGAGCCACCTCTTTCGGTGGTTGAAGATTGCCAATACTGTCAAAATATATGACATGCTTTCCTCTTTTTGCATACGCCACCCAGTGAGTACCTGGTCCATTTGTATCATCCAAATTGACGATACCACTCTTATTGCAATGTACTATGTTCGGTAATGTATTACGCATAAAAACATCTCTAAAGAAAGGTATACGCATGCGCTTAGCTACCTTGTTCTAACTGCATATTTGTTGTTACACCTGTAGGTACATTTAATGTTTTTTTTCTTTGAAAGTCCTCTTCCGTACGGAGTCAGATAAATTCCTCGACCTTCCATCGCGCGATTATGACGTTGCATTTCTTCTAGCTGCCGCTGTGCAGCTCTCGTATCATTTACCGTTTTTGCAACTCCTGCCGCTCCACCAACGAGCGCACCGAAAGCACCCAGCAGCGGTAGGACCGATAACACACCGCCGCGTTTAGCAATTGGAAGTATTTGCTTCCTTTTTGCTGACTTGCTTTTCGTTTTCAAGCCCATGCCGAGTTTAGTTTTTGCTTTCATAGCCGCCCATACGGCGGTCGCAGCTGCTCTCTCACCGAGACTCGAGTCTGCCGCTGTAATACGATCGCGCGCCTTTGCAGCAAGTGCGTTATCAGCCACGTGTCGAGCAGCGAGTTCGTTGCTTCGCGAATAAGCTATATCGTGTTCACGACAAGCCGCATCCAATGGACTAATGCCGCGATCGCCTCTAGCTAATCGTTTTTCCAAACGCGTTCCCGGGCCACAAAATTGACAGCCCGGAATATGTAATTCGACGGGAAGAGCGTTTATCACGCGATTTAACAATCCACGACCTGACATAGATTACAATATACGTTTGACATCAGCTGTCTTCTGACGACTGAGTAGAAAGGCTCGACGCATCTCTATAAATAGGTGCTCCTTGCGCGAGGCAGTTACAAACAAACCATGCAGTTTGTGCGGCAACCTGTGGCAATACCTACCGGTTACTATACGCGGTATTGTGTGCGGTTCTTTGAACTGCGGCAAGACGAATGTAGTGTTAAGCTTGCTTGAAAGTCCAGACGGTGTACGTTTTGAAAACGTGTATGTGTATTCTAAGTCGTTGCAACAACCAAAGTATTAATATCTGAAGAATGTACTTTCATCAGTAGGTAAAATCGGTTACTTTACTTTTTCTAATAATGTGAAGCACTTCCAAATTCTATTTTCATTTTTGATGACGTGGCATGACAAACAGGGTACGATACGAGAATACTTTGCAATGGGTCGTCACTCGAGTGTCGACTGTTTCTATCTTTGTCAGACGTACGCGAGGATACCAAAGCATCTTATACGTGACAACGCAAATCTAATAATTCTTTTTAAACAAGATGGTACCAGTCTCAAACTTGTGTATAACGATCATGTAAATACGGATATGTCGTACGAGAAGTTCTGTATATTATGCCACAAATGTTAGCAAACCAAATATGGATTTTTAGTGATCGACAAGGACAGTCCTTTGAACAGAGGTCACTATAGAAAAGGATTTAACGAGTTCGCGATACCGTCGAGTGGTTAATCGTTGTTGAGACATCAACCAAGTATCGTTTCTCCTACAGTACGAGCAACATGGCTGACGAAAGCAATGAAATTATAGTCCGCGAGAAAGTAGCAAAGGAGATTGCAAAAACGAGTCAATCCATTCGTCAAAAATATCGCGCTCTGAAAACCGGGAAATTAGAAGAAGAAATTGCATTGAAAAAACAGTTCAAACCTATTAGTGAACCTCTAAACCAGATTGCTGAAAATACGCAAAAAAACTAAGCAAGGAAACTAAGCAAAAAACGTCGGACACAGTGTTTCTTGAAGACACGTCACACGAGACGAAGCGAAAACGAACGCAGACATCGAACACTGTCCCCTACTTTACACAATTCAAAGCGCACACGATATAACACTGCAATGGCGACTTCTACTCCGACGAAAGAACAAACCGAACGACAATTGACATGGGATTCNCCATCGATTGACACTATCGTTGCTACTGATGCTACTAACAACAAATTGTTCGAGTCAACTATTTAACGTCAAATGCAAACGTTGGAGGGTCTTGAAATGTTTCAAAATCATTTTGGTCCGTTGGCACAACAATATATGAAAGCTATCCTGAGTGGTAAGAAAGAAAACGACATAGACTATATGGTGTGTATTTCGACAACGATGGAATGATGCTCGGTGATAAGCGTTTTGACGTGGATAAACAGGATAATATAATTATAGATGGTATACGATTCAAAGCAACACAAGGATTGTACGAAATAATTTTCATGAAATGTCCAAAGAGCGTTATATACCGAGGAAGATAAACAACGATACCAAAAAAGATATTGGAAATAACACATGCTCATAAAAAACATCACAACATGCTCGGTGCAATACTGGGTAACAAAGGATACAAATATAGATACATAATTGCACCTTTAATATCCAGTGTGCGTACTAAGCAGGGTAAAGGTATACCGCGTAATATGACGTTAAGCGTTTGTAAGATCGAGTACGCGAACTGGGACGATCCCAATGAACTCGTCGATCGTCTGCGGTTGCTAGACGCTTCCCGTCAAGCGGGCAATAATGCTCACGACGAAATTTTGTCGATCATCGAGGAACTCCGCGAATCGGGATTCATTATAAAGTAAATAGCGCGTCGGCGTTAGAGTCAGTCAGTCGTGTGCGCGTTATCATGCCAATTAACAAATTTGGGATATCGCTCGAAACACATGGAGCGTCGATGTATTATTATGAGAAAAAAGCAATACTGCAAAATTACGTGCGTAATACCGCTCTCTGCTTTGTCGGTTCCGGCTACGATGCGAGGTCGCGCAAGATACTGCATGTAGCGCAACCCGATACCGACACTAACGCCGCCAACAAATGATACGTAGATATGTGTGTCACAAATGTGAATGAATGGCAAGAGACACGTGAGAGAAAAATTATCACATTTCAACAGGATGGGCAAGCGTTGCGCGACGCTATAAAACAAATTCAGCGTACACTTCAATATCTATCAAACCAAAATAAAACGACTGACACAGTAGACATATAGTAAGACAGCTATGGCGACGAATCATGTCACAATCGAAAAACAACGTCTCGTAGAAGAATTGCATGCTCCGGCAAGAAGAAATTTTCCCCGTAGACGCGTTATCGTACACGGATATGATAATCTCTGGCAAGCGGATGTGGTAGAGATGCGTCCGCATTCGCGCTTCAACAGAAGTTACCACTACATACTTACGGTTATNGATGTGCTGAGCAAGTACGCGTGGGCTATACCGCTTAAGAGTAAGAGTGGATGCGAAGTCACCAAAAGTTTTCCAGGAATATTTTGGGATAACAAACGATGTCCAAAGAATTTGCAAACTGACCGTGGAAAGGAATTCTACAATATAGATGTGTGTTACGTCCTGGAGACTCCACGGTCCCCTTTTTGCCAACGCATAGCAAACCCCCTTTTTTTTTTTTTTTTTAATAAATAACTCGAACGGGTTTCTTATCGTTTGGAAACTTAAAACTCCAGACGATAGGAGAACAAACAAAAATTATATCGGCGCCCGGAAAGATAAACTGCGCCTAGCAATAACACGAAATTTTAGATAACTATTCGAGCAGCTTTCCAAGCAAACCCGGATATCTCCGGGTCATGAAAACGCCGGTCATAAAAATTAGAGCGACCGGCGCAAATAGAAACTCCGGCATTTTTATTACAAACAAACAACAAGGAGTCTATACGGCGTGGTCGAAAAGACAACACTCTCCCTTTTTCCTTCCCCAAAAAATCGGACGAGGCGACCGAAGCGAGAGATCGTCGCCGATTGGCAATCTCGAAAGTCGCCCGACCGACTAATTAACAAATAGGAACCAGCAAAGCTCAACTGAGTTCCCGATTGGGAGAATCCTCGCTTACTAAAACGGTATATAAGCCAGGGCTCTCGGAATCGNAAACTCAGAAAGAATCGCGCCGCGTATCCAGAAAAACTTACTGATTCTGCCGGGAGTGCCGCAGCAAAGTCGCGACGCATACAAGTTACAAATGCAAGTGCAACCAGTGTGCCAAAAATCCACCGAACTACCTAGCCAGCCGTAAGGGCCGAAAGAGTGAAGGAAATCGCACCACCAGTAGCAGCAAGTAGTAAGTCTACCCACAAATTTTAATCGGGAGTTCCACTAGGTAAAAATCTAACTCGAGGTTAATACTCGGAACTTACCAGTGACGCATAACCGCCTAAAAGCATTGCGAGAATATACTCTTTTGCTTCTCCGCAATCAATTCCTCATTTGACCACCCTCGCCGGGAGGGCAGTTCGCGACTCTAGTCGTGAATAGCAACCGACCGAGGAGTCAATTCCTCGTTCGACCACCCTCGCCGGGAGGGCAGTTCGCGACTCTAGTCGTGAATAGCAACCGGCCGAGGAGTCAATTCCTCGTTCGACCACCCTCGCCGGGAGGGCAGTTCGCGACTCTAGTCGTGAATAGCAACCGGCAGAGAGAGAGAGAGTTAGCCCTTTCCCCCGTTTCTTTTTTTTTTGACAACTCTTCTTTGATCAAGTTCTGATGTCAGCAGAATGAGAAATCAGTTCCGAATGTTAACCTCGTTCACATTTTTACAATAAATAATAACTTGCTAAGAGAACCTCCCGTTTAAGTGGAACC